TATATTTCATAATTACACTCTCCATTGTGCACATTGACACTTGGATTCACTTATGTTTCCTGTATTATTGTCCGTTTAGGACTTCTATTGAAGAAAAGTGTTTTAACTCGAACATTAATAAGATGCCATACACATGTATGCATTATAAATAAAGATGTATGTTTAATTTGATAACCTTGCTGCATAAATTCATAATTAATAAACAAGTTCAAAAGCCACAATGAGCTACCTCAACCACAGTAAATGTTAAGTAAATTATCTTGTTTATTAAACAAACCATCTCAGCTATCTATTATATACTTAGATGACTAGATTAAGTTCTACCTCTAAATGCACATTTTCTAAATTCTTAATTTCCTCTCAATTACTTTAAATTAATCAGTAAAAGCTCCAGCGATGACTTCTTTTTGAAGTTCTGAACAAACCAACCCCCAACTAATTCTACATAAGAATAACACGAGCATTTATCTGAAATCCTTATATGGATATTGCAAAATTCTATCTAAATGCCAATTGGTATCGAGTAAGTTTTCCGACAAGTAAAAACCAATGAGGCTATGTTTTCAGCAAAATATAAGCTTTAGACAATAAAAATGTCTACAAAATTTAGTTATATCACTGTATCCTCTTTTTTCTTGTAATCAAAATTTTTAAGACGGGAGACTGACCCAATTCCAAGGTCAGCGAGGGCCAATAGACAGCAAGAATATTTCGTATAATAGTGGCCATTTTTTCCTTTTTTACCCTCACACATCTCAATGTTATTTTAACCCTTTCGAAAGCAGTTCTATTTAATGGGTCTCAGTAGAACTTGACTACTTAAGAAACAGAAAAAAAAAAAATATGTATATGTATATATGTATAGATATAGATATAGACATTTCAAAGCTAAAACTACCTGAATCTAAAAACCAAATACATCTTTTGAAAAGAGTTTATACTTACAGCATGATATCTAGGACTTTCCCCACAGGAAAGCAGCGTGCTCGACAGACAGGGGTTCCACCTTTAGCAATAGTTCCTTCCCATTTCCACTCCGTTAAAGATGAAGTATCGGGTTCAGGCGAGAATCTTTTCTTTTCAACATAAGTTAACTGCTGAGCACCGGAACCCATTTGGAAATTATCATAAGATTTCCAGCTTTCTTGTCTATCTAAACGAGGCAGAGGTGAATTTGGGGGGCGTTCAAGAGTCTGGCCGTAAGTAAAATTTCCAGTATCAAAGCCTTTATCAAAAGGCTCACGTGCGGGTAACTCAGATAAAAGTCTTGGGAGAACTTGTTTCTGTTTTTCTAATTCAGAGAAGGGATACTCTGGAAGCTCTCTTTCAAGAGGAGGAGAACCAGTCTTCGGCCTTTTAGCCTCACGTAGATAATGAACATCTGTAAAGGCTCGCAAATCTTCGTAGAATGCACCTTTTTGAGGAAATCGATCATCTCTTTCTCTTGATGGACTATTCATAAGTTCATAGATTTCTTGTGATACTCCTTGTGTTCTCCCCTTCTCTCCAACTTTCCTTTGTTCATATGTGTTAGTTCCACCCATCCATGAAGAACCCCTTTTGTGATCATAAGGATCAGAATCCCAATTCCGGAACTGATTTGGGGAACCAATGCTGCGATCACCATTGAAGCTCCGATCCTGTCTGAGGTTATCGGAAGATCCATCACGACCACTTGACTTGTAAATTGGAGAGCGAGGGCCATTAAGTGATCTCCTCTCACTGTTTGATGAACCTGTTTCACTTTTGGCAAAACAAATATGAACACGGGGATTTCCGAATAACTTCCCCTTCAGATTGTCTTTTGCTCTGCATGCAGATGTAAGGCTCCTAAAGCGAACAAAGGCATAACTACGACCTGGAAATGTTGTAATCTTCATTATTTCACCAAATGGGGAAAAAGCTTTTCTTAAAATTGATTCGTCCACCTTCAACTGAGCCGGGAACCCAATCCACAGGACCTCACTGGGTTCTGGATTTTTGTCACTCAGCTTAGATTTGTCAGAATACTGCAGCCCAGGACTACCATGGTGTCCCCTAAACTCTCTTTGTGACAAAGGAGAACCCCTTAATGTTGAGTTCCGTTCATCCCAAGAGTAATCTTCATCGCGTGGTACTGCCGATGACTTATCCTGTGATTAAGAACAAAACTTATTGGTGAAATTATCATACATTTCATTTATCTATTTTTAACATTCTGAAACGAAAATATTTATTCCATAACCAGATGCCAATTTTGAAGACTAAGTGGTTATCATCATCTAAAAATCCAACAGAAAGACATTAAACTAAAAGAAATTTACTAATATGAACTATGAAGACTTCATGGGAAAATACAAAAATAATGGATGAACATAATACATCAAGGCAATCATCAATCACTCCAAGCTCTTCAATACAACAAGTACAACTTAATTTTATCCTACATGGTAGAATCGGTTATAGATCATTCAATACCACTAGTCTATATGAAAGACCAATGCATCGTTGACCCTGGTCATGAAGATTCAACAAAGCTTTACATTAGCCTTGAAGTCTAACTACCTAATACCAACCTCTAATATCCTCTCGAGTAAACATAAACGAAGGTTACACCTTGCAAGATGAAAATGATAGCAATGTCCGAAGACAACTATCTCCCCCTTCTTTGAACAACTTAAAGAGTTGGGAGAGAAACTAAAATTTTATTACTACGGTTCTCTCAACCTTAATACATCATACTACCCTATTTATAAGGGATAGTAGTTCAACATACAAATTAAAAAAAGAAGGCTCCTAAAAAGCCTACTAGAAAACATATTACATTTCAACACTCCCCCTCAAACTGGAACATATAGATCATATGCACCAAGCTTGGAACATATAAATTGAATTCTAGGCCCCTTAGATTTGGTAGAATGTCTCCGAGTTGTTCATTAGAGTTGACAAACTCTGTAACAAGTTCCTTGGACAACTTCTCTCTAATAAAATGACAGTCAATTTCTGTGTTTTGTTCTCTCATGAAACTCCGGATTTGAGGCAATGTGAAGGGTTGCTTGGTTGTCACAGTACAGCTTTAGCTTCAGCACTAGATCGAGCAACAACACTTCGTTTCTTACTTTTCCAAGATACAAGTTTCCCTCCAAGTAAAACATAATATCTTGTAGTAGATCTTTGATCAATTGGACATCCAACCCAATTTGCACCACAATATCCTTCGATCTGAATGCTTCCCTTGTTCTCATACAACAATCCCTGTCCTAGGTTTCCTTTTACATATCTGAGAATGAGAATCACTACATTGCAATGGTCAACATGTGAGTTTTGCATAAATATACTCAACTCCCACCAGATAAGAAAGATCAGGTCATGTTATGTAAGATAAATGAGTTTTCCAACCAAACTTCTATATCTCTCTGGGTCTCAGAAAGATTCACCTTGATATCTCATTAACTTTTGATTTGAATTCATAAGAATATCAATGGGCTTGCAATTTGTCAGGCTTGTTTCCTCTAAAATATCAAGAGCATATTTCCTTTGTGAAATGATGACACCTTTTGACTGTGTCACTTCAATACCAAGAAAATATTTTAGACGACCCTGATCTTTAGTCTGAAAGTGGTTGAACAAATGATTCTTTAATTAAGTAATTCAAGTGGCGTCATTCTCTGTAATAACAATATCATCAACATACACCATGAGATAAACACATTTGTCCAGAGAAGAATGACCATAAAACACTGAATGATCCGCCTCACATTGTTTCAGTCCAAAATTTTGCACAACTCGACTAAATTTACCAAACCAAGCTTGAGGTGATTGCTTCAAGCTATAGAGGGAACGACATAATTTACAAACTAACCCAGACTCCCCCTAAGCAACAAACCCAAGAGGTTGCTCCATGTATATCTCCTCTTCTAGCTCATCATGAAGAAAGACATTTTTAATTTCCAAAAGGTAAAGTGGCCACTGACGAATGGCAACCATAGCAAGCAAAATACAAACCGTACTAGTTTTAGCCACAGGAGAAAAAGTATCAAAATAGTCAAGGCCATAAACTTGAGTATATCCCATAGTTACTAGACGAGCTTTGATAGGAACATAATAAATAGAGAAACACAAATAAGTAATAGCAGAAGCTCAACTCGATTTCCAAGTAAATAAAAAAAAAAGTTATTGTATTTGATTTGACTTCAGTTAAAATAAATGAACATATTTAATATTATCTTAATCGTATCTTAGATTATCAATTAAGGTTCTATCATATCTCTCAGTTTATTTCTCACTCTCAACATGGTAAAATGGAATCTTTTCTTTTAATAAGATCGGCGAGGCCACCTTCCCCCTTTCATTGTGTTTAGGAGCGAGACCTACCCAAGTATGGTATGGAAGGCAGACTCCGCGAACGTCTTAATGTCCGCTTCATTACTAATAAAGTAAACAAAGTCTTAACCTGAATCTACAAAAAACTGTTGTATGGTAGAGGAGGTAAGCAAGGGTTCTCGGTCTATTATAATAGGAAGAGGCGAGAATGGATTTTGCGATGTGTCTGTCCCACAATTTCGTGAAAATACACCTCACATAACCTAACCTAAAAATGTATAAGCTAGGGTTAAAAATATAGTTGATCACTTGTAATGTCTATTAAGAAGTGGACTTTAAGCCTAACTCAACCCTACAAAATCAGCTTGTAAGGTGTGGTTTGCACCTACTTATTTACTATAAATTGACCTTATTTCTAGTCGATGTGTGACTTCCAACACACTCCTCACACTGAGATATATACATCTTGAGCGTGACACTAGACATTAATGGGTAGTCCGATAGCGGGTGGAAGAACATGTCCAACAAACAAAAAATATCGCTAAGATAGGCCCTAACATAGCTCTGATACCATGTTAAAAAGTGAACTTTAAGCTTAACTCAACTCCACAAAACCAACTTGTAAGGTGAGGTCTGCACCCACTTATATACTATAAATTGATCTTATCTCTAGTTGATAAGGGATTTCCAACAAATCCAAATAGAAAATCTCGTTCTATTAGATTCCCAACATGCATAAGTACAAAAAGCAAGTAACATAGAAACTACAGAGTGAGTTGGATGGAATTTGATGATCTTCAAGGCGAAGGGAGCTGGAATGGAAGCTAGAGCAGGAACAGTAGGAGCTCCAACAATGGAAAAGCTTTTTTCTAGCAAATAGAAGATTATCAGCACCACATGACATATGGATTAACATGCTTTCAGGGAGAACATAGAATAATAGAGGATCTAGCATAGGGAACATGACAATCATTATAGATGTTGTAACTCTTTCCTGTAACTTCTCATAGCATACCACCCCACTAAAAAATAAATAGGGATCAGAAATGTGGTAAATGTCACAAAGAAAAAAGAAAAACCATCTATACCCAAATTCATATTGTTCTTTTCATAAAGAAGCCATCTAAGGCTTTCCTCAAATTAAGATTTTTCCATATAAGGATTGAATTGTATCACAAGACCAAGGGAATACAAAAAAGTAATAAGAGAGGCACATAGATCAATCAATCATATTAGCTTACGCTTGAGTTTGGAACGAAGAGGAATAATGCTTCCAAGCACAACACACTGAATAGAACTACATAGGTCATGATAGCATTCACAGAAATGTTCTAACATAGAGATTAGCTGACAAAACTAAACAAACAGGTGCCTAACTCCAAAAGTTGGAGTATTAGTTGAGTCTCCTCCCCCCTTCCCTTTCCTACTTTTCCACTCTCCTTTTAAGGGCCTATCAAAGTGCCCCATGAATAATCTAGGAAAGGATGTATCAGATAAAAGTCAACCTTGTTTAGTTAGTTTATAGCCTCCCACCATAGTAGATGAGATAGGTTTAGCCTCAGCCACAGTGGTTTTGGATAACAAAATGATGCATTTACTTTGTAAAACATAGAGTGGTCAATCAGGTTGAGGCTAAACCTCAATGCCTAGGAAGCAGTCCCATAAGGGTCACCCGAACTCAACTCCTTTGGAGAGAATTCTGAATTGAGAACACTGAAGTAGTCCAGTTCAGCTAAATACATTAGTGATCTAAGCCAAAGCCAACATGGCTGAGGCTAAGCTCATCTTATCTGCTCTTCTTCAGCAATTGATTTCCAAACTCAATTCATGTCTCTCCAAAGAGCTTTTGGTGACTTGGACTACTTCCTAGGCCTAGATATACTTTTTAATTTCAGCTGTGGAACAGACCACCAATGGATTTCAAGCAAGCAGAAATGGCTTGATTTGAAAAGAAGTGAGACTGTTTGATATCCTTTCTTGACATTGAGAGGTTCACTTCTGAGTTAACCAGCCCTTGCATAATTGGAATGAATTAGAATAGTCAACAGATGTCAAGATACACACAGTGAGAGGGTTGAAGTCAAGTGAGCAAAAGTTGACCTTGAAGCTCCCAGGCTGCAGGGCTCTCTGACCCTAGATCGTGATCATCATAAGAAATCAGAAATCAATAGTTATAATTATGAGAATGCAGAACTGTAAAGTTGTACTATTGACTGTGAGAGTAGTGTACCTCAGAGGCTCTGATAGGTTCTTTTAATCAAGAACCTAAGAATAACGCTAGAAACACCACACAGGACAAGTTCTCTGAATTATACAGCCTCCTTTTATTGCCAAAG